TGGGGAGCAGCTCCCCCAAGAGCTGTGCACGCTGCCTCCAGCACGCTCCCTGGCCAACAAACTTCTTAACAGACACATCCAATTTATGGGGCTGGGCTGTGAAAACCGTACGGTACGCTCCAGAGCATGCCTCCCGCAACAAGCCTGCCATGCACACAGAAACCCATCAGACAGCACGGGGGAAAGTAGGTGCCTTAGCAGGGTAAAGAGCAGAACCTCACGCACACATATCCCACTGCTGGACCTTTCCTGAGGGGCTCCCTGCTATTTACTGTGCTTTGGCCAGCTCCTGGAGGACACCAAAGATGCCACCTCAGGCCAGAAGATCCAGTGCCCAGACATTAACCACTGCCTGTGAGCAATCACTGTTGTTTCCAGCACAACTACAGGCAGCTTCCGCTGCTGCTTCCACTCGGGTTTCCACCTCGAGCCAAGAGGCACTGCTGCGCAAGGGCCAACCCGCACCTCGCTCGGGGCACGGGGCTGGGCAGACACCGGCAATTGCAGGCGAGCACAGAGTTCCTGAGCGCATGTGTGGCTCGGTGACGGGCACCCTGCTCGGTCCCGAGGGCCGGGTATAACTACAGGCGGGTAATCAGCAAAGCCCAGGCCTGGCTAAGACACTCACCTGGCAGCACGTCCTTCCCAGGCCCCCCAGAAGCCCAGCCTTTTTGGGACAGCTCAAGTAGAGGCGCTGCCAAGGTGAGCCCTGCAGATGCTCTGGCTGTCACGAGCTGCAGGACCTGCGTCACAGCACGCATAAGGAAAACACTCGTGGGGTCTGGTTCTTCTCTTCACACAGAGCAGAGCGGAGCCAGCCTGGGCTCAAGTCTGGCAAGAGGGTGCTGGCACAAGCTGGTGGTGGGGGGTCCCAGTCCAGAACCTAAACATACAATCTATACTCTGTAAACCCCTGGGGGGAGCATCCCATCCAGACACCCAACATGCCTGGTGCTTTCTAGCCGTGGAGCACTGGAGGAGCCGTCGGGCCCCGCACGGCCGGAGTGCAGCCCTGCACAGGCAGTGACCCCAGCCTTGGCACGCCTGCTCTGGGCGGCATCGCATTGGCACCACCGAGGGGCTCACGCAGGGCAGAGCAACAACGGGACAAAGGGAGGATTTTCAAACACAGCAGACAAGCAATGCTGGGACCTCGGCAAAGTGAGCGAGTCAGCCCCCAACCCTGGAAACACTTCTCGGGCAGCGCTCAATGGAAAGAGCCTGCTGGCTCCGGGCAGCTGCAGGGCAGTGAAACACTCCCAAACAACAGACACTGCACTCAGAACAGGGACAAGCAAAAGAAAAGTGTAAGAAACCTGGCCCGATTGGTGTTATTTGCCAGTGAGCACAAAGCACTTGAGCAGAGGGTGCCCTGAGCCTCCTGACACAACGTGCTCTTCTTAGAGCCCCAGCTCATGGCGTTGCAGAAACACGTAAAAATCTCATCTCTGATGCGAAGATGAGTTTCTTCCCCTTCAGCTCACAAAGAAACCTTGAAAATAACATGTCCGAAGGCTCAAAGACCAAATGGAGAGCTGAACAGAACGTGTGCCTACTTGTACATTCTTTAAAAAGCTTCGTATTTTAAACTCAGTCTCCTAAATTACACAGCTGTTACAGCCAAAGGCACTTCTGTATCAGAAATGTGTATCTTGAAAAAGCGATGCTCATTTCCACCCTATTTTTAGAAGATAAAAAGCTGCTCACCTCACAGCCAACCTGCCTTCTTGCCACAGCCTGACCTTCTCCGCACTGCTCTGCTCTTGCTGCTGCTTCAGCCCCTGCTCCTGGCACCTACTTCTCTGAGCAGTCTTGTGCTGCAGCTTTTGCTGCACTCGGAGGGATGTCAGGGGTCTCCTCCTCTCCTGTTTGTAGTTCATGTTCATTTGGAAACTGATAAACAAATCCATCAGTTCAAATGAAGTGTTTTGAGCCCTTTGTGATGGTGCTTAAGTGCGCAAGTGTGACCTGCACATTTTAGTGCTTCTCTCCAGCTTGGTTTAAACAAACGCCCTCAACACTGTATCATAAAAAAAGACATGAAACTGAAGTGCAAACACAGACCTGACCTGCCTTTCCTGTCCCATCTATTTGTCAGACAGCTTCCTCAATTTATCCCCGTTCTTCCTATGGGTGAGCTAGCTGTCTGCCTGCTGGAGCTTCCTACTGTTTATCCATCCTTCTGGTTTCTCTGTTCTTACACAGCACCTATCGCCACAGCATCCAAGAACTGTACAAAATCCAGAAGTTTTTCCTCCATGGCAACGCTATGAGAAATACTGGCAATACTTTAACCTGCCTGTGAAAGCTCTTCCCAGCCCTCTGCACGCCCCAGTTCTCCAGGCTCTTACAAGGCTCCCTCAGTAATGACCCATCAGCATCTTCCTCCTGGACATGCTGGCAGAGGCAAAAGTCCTCGTGCCAACCTCACTGTTCAGAAGTCCAGGCCTTCAAAAGATTCGTACTGAAAAAATCCAAGTGCATTTTGCATTTCTCTTGCTAGTTTACTCTCCAAGCCTTAGTTCATATTCTCTAGCCTTTCCCTCAGCAACCATTTACATAAGAATGTTTCTTTCTTCCTTAAATAATGATGGAGATTGCCAAAGAACTGCTAAGTTCAGAGAGCTGAGGCTTGGAGAAAACATCACAAGATTCACAGTAAAACCACGGCAGCTGGCCACACCACAGGAGCAGCATCGCTCCCATAGTAATAGTGACTTATAAAGCATCGATGCTTACATATCCGTTCTTCCAGGGCAGGGACCGGTGTGGCAGCGGCCTGTGGCAGCTGCCTCTGCAGCCTCCGATGGGCATTCTTCCAACGGGCAGCGCTGATCATCCATCCGGTTGCTCTGGAACTTGCTCAGCAGGTCAAAGAAGCATTCCTCATCCGAAGGGGTCCGACTGATTTTCTGGAAAGACAGTAAAATACAGAAGAGAGTCAGAACGCCCCAAATAACTCCCCGTGTCCAATCGCTCCGTCTGGCGCAGCCTCGGCAACGCGCCGTGCCCTCTCCTGCTCTGTTCAGAGACTGGCTCCTGGCTGTGCCTGCGGCTTGCCAAGCCCCGCAGCCTGGAGCCTGCCAGGGGTCACTGCTACTTGTTCCCTCTGTCCTCCTGGCTCTGAAATAACCTCTCCCTTCTTCTCTTGCCACCCTTCGGTGTGGACAATCTAACACCATCCTCCTAGAGAAGGCCACAGGCAGAGCATCACGAAGGTCCCCTCTCCCACAGGGACCCCTGAGTGGGAACGGGGTGAAGAGCTGCTCTGCGACTTGTGCTCCACGAGAGGGGCATCCGTGGAGAGCTGTGGCCTCTCCAACAGGTCACTTGCGCTGTGACCGATCCCAGGGGCTCTGAGCACTTCCACAGCCCGAACCGGAGCCAGGCTCCTACCAGTGAGCAGAGGAGCCCCGCGCAGAGCAGCCTCTGTTGCTGCAGAGCATCTTGAGCGCTTAGACCAAACTGGA